GCGGACAGTGATTTCGTTCCTTGGTGATCGACTCGGGGTGTACCCAACACATGACGTCCGACGGTCGCTCTTTAAGAAGTTTGAAGCGGCCTGTGGACGAAAAGTTTGCGTGGCAACGGCCACAATGACTCCTGTCGAAGGTGTTGGTTCAGTACTGCTCACGGTGCAAATGAACAACGGCCATAACGAACGGGTCAGGCTCCACAAAGTCCTCTACGTGACGGCGCTTGAAATGGATTTACTCTCGGTGTACCAAGCGGCTCAAGGAGGAGCGAAATTTGACTTTCATACGCGACCTGGCTCCGTGATAATGTCACTTGACCATCGCCATGTTACATGTCGCGCTACTAATAAGCTTTACGTCCTGCATTCGGCTCGACCACCAGCAGCAGCTCTCGCCGTAAGACCAGAGCTGACGCTTGACCTCCTGCATCAACGGTTTGGGCATACCAGCAAGCAGACTCTCCGCAAGATGGCGTCGTCTAAAATGGCCAGTGGCATGGCGTTCAAACCTGAGCAGGAGAATTTCCCGTGTGGCGCCTGCGAGTTGGGTACGAAGCGCTGTGCGACGTTAAAAATGAAGCCCCGAGCTGACCTGGATGACTGCAATAACGTTGTTCACAGCGACATCGCTGGACCTGTCGAATTGCCATCAATCAAGCTCGAGCGCTATGTGTTACTCTTTGTCGATGGTTATTCGCGATACTGCGCTGTGCGGTTGCTGCGTAAATGATCGGAGATGTTCCAGTGCTTCCTGGAAAACAAGGCATCCGTAGAGACGAAGCACAATCGTTCGCTTCGACGCTTTGTCAGCGACAACGGTGGTGGGTATCTAGATGGTGCATTCGTCAAGTACTGTCGTGACCATGGGATTCAACGCGATATCACAATCGCGTACCCACCGGAGCAAAACGGGGTGGCTGAAGTTCGCTTCCGTATTCTCTTTACCACAGTTCGGACGATTTTGATCTCGAGTGGGTCACCAAAGCAGCTTTGGGGAGAAGCAGTTCTGGCGATGATCTACATATACAATCGGACTCTCGCCTCCGGCATTGGCACCACTCCATACGAGCGATGACACGGTCATCCTCCTGATGTCAGCAACCTTCGGACTTTTGGCTCTCTCGCATACGTCTACGTGGCATCCAAGACAAATGCTCAGGGGCGGGCCGGTGCCAAGAGGCAAAAGCTTGATGCCAAAGCTGTTCGAGGCGTGTTTGTAGGCTACGCCGCCAACCAAAAAGGCTGGAAGATTCTCGATTGTAATCAAGGTGCCATTATATCGTCCATTCATGTAACCTTTGACAATACTGCTCTGCTGCAGCTTGCGATCTCAGTTCCGCAAGTTGGCTTCGCGCCACGCCATGGACTTCGAATATTACTCTCGGACCGCGACATCGGAAGTTGACTTGCTTTTCTACAGCCAATGCCCCACCGAAGAGAAGCCTTCTGCCAATGACGTAGTACTTCTCGAAGAATTCGTTGCTGGCTTTGATATGGACTCGGTCAATATTCGACGACATGATCACAACTCCGTGTGTACGCATCTTCATCAGCTCCATGGCTTCGAACGTTGGCCGGATCACCAGCGCTTACCAGTGAATCTGTTCATCCAATCATCCGAGCCGTTCGTAAGCAGAAACAAGCTGAGCTCCTTGTGGCGCTCAAAAATCGGAAGTGCAAGGAGTCACTTTGTGCTGTAGTTTCTCAAGGTATGGGCCTTGATCCTGCAACTTACCGTGAAGCAATGACACGCCCTGATGCGGCAAGATGGAGAGAAGCCACTGATGCAGAAATAGCGTCGCTTCTAAAGAACAAGACGTGGACACTAGTTAAACTTCCAGCAGTCAAGCGAGCTCTAGCTGCAAGTGGGTGTTCAAACGAAAGTTCAACAGTGACGGGACTCTCGAGCGATACAAAGCTCGCTTAGTCGTCATCGGGTGCCAGCAGATTAAGTTTATCGACTTCGACGACGTCTTCGCGCCTGTAGTGTGCTTGGAATCACTCAGAGTACTGCTTGCAATTGTGTGCATTGAAGACTTGGAATGTGAGCAAATAGACATCGAGATCGCTTTCCTGAACAGTGTGCTTGAAGAAGAAGTGTACATGCAACTCCCACAATGGCTGAAGGTCCCCGATCAAGAAGGTCTGGTGTGCCGCCTGCAAAAAAGCCTATATGGCCTCAAGCAGGCACCATGAGCATGGCACAAGGCGTTAGTGCAGTATCTCACCACTGCTGGATTTGAAGCTCTGCAGTGTGAAGCCTGCATTTTCGTTCGGAGCATGGACATTAAGACGCATATCGTAGCCATTTACGTGGATGACTTGGTGCTGATCACTAAGACTAAGGGTGAATTTGCCGAAATGAAGGCCGGCATTCAAAAAGTATTTCGTGCAAAGGACATGGAACCCGTCAGCTACATTGTGGGGATCAAAGTAGTCCATGACAGGGCACAACGAAAGCTGTGGATCAATCAGCAGCTAAGCGCAGACAACATCGTGAATCGGTTCAATATGCAGCACGCGTTTGCTACTAAAGAACCGTCGATACCGAGGAAGAAGCTGCGGAAAGTTAACGGCGCTGATGCAAACGGTGATATCATGAGTGACATGGCAACGAAACCCTTTTGACAAGCTGTCGGAAGTCTGATGTATCTGATGATCGGGTCGAGACCCGAACTTGCCT